ATGTAGCATGGACATAATTACATTCTCTTCAGCAGAAATTGGTGAAGACCCTCTGTCCGCCATTAATGGTTATTTTTTAACGTTGTTATGTTGCTACGTTCCCTTGTTAACAAATGGAATATTTGCGTGAGAGAGCGTTCATAACGCGCTTGGAAGATGAGAACTGATTTCCAATGGATCAGATACCTGTTCAACCGGAAAACAACAATTCAATATCCCATAAAATTAAATTATCTTCAGCAGAAATTGTTTTTCTTGTCCGCCATTTTTATTTCTATAACTTTGTAACCAAGCAATCATCTACATTTTCTTAGGGGGAGGTGGAGGCGAGGTTTTAAAACAAGAGACATAATTAGAATGTATTTGCTCAAAAAAAGTTTTTGAAAGGCAAATATCCTATTGTTTTTCTATTATTTTTTTATTTTATATAGATATTCATTTTATAAGGCTATTCGACTCTTAAGAATTCCGGCATAGTTCAYGGTTTCTTACCCCTCCCCCAAGAAAGTATTGGACAGTGAGGGATGTTTGGAGGCGCTTTAGTAGGCGCAGCGCTACGTTTTGTTCAGCTTGGAAATATTCGCCTTCTCTCTAACTATCTTYTCATGGAAGTTCCGTAGGCTAAGGTTAGTGTTTGCCTTTAGTATTCATGTATACAATATAAGTTTTAAACGTTGTGAAGTTTAACTTTTTTTATTGTCTTCCGTTTTGACCATCAGCTCAAAAATGCCTTTTTGCTTCCGTCTTGTTAACGTTTCGGTTTTAAATGTTAGAGGGTTTTTCATTTGATAGTAGAATTCACACCATACGGATGCTTAAACTACGAAATTAAGAGTAGAATTGCTGTGCTATTTTTAACTTTGTTAAGTTTGGCTAAGTGAGCATGATATTTTGATTTGATATCAGTTTTGTCGTTTCAATTATCACATATTCATTAGATCATAAGCTTACATTTGTTGATCTTTATATAGGAAAAATGTCATTCATGAATTAAAGATATTCATTATTGCATCAAGTTTTCTATCTCTTTCCCTTCTCTATTTTCTCATTTACTATATTTCTTACTTTTGTCCATTTTTCTTTCATTCCCACCTCTTTGCTGTCTTTTTGCTAAAGGTTATGATCATCATCAATCCTAGCTCTAGCTCTAGCTCTAGGTATAGGTATTGTTTCATCTGTGGCTTTGTATTGATAAGAACTAGATTAATAGCCAACTTTAGATATTATTTTTGGTTCAGTGACCATGCACAAAAGAATTGAAGACGAGGCGCTGGGKTRATAAAATTWGATTATCCATTGTTTTCACGGAGCCTCATGTGTGTCCTTTTATACATAGTCATCGAACCAAAATATCTAAAGTTTCTTTTTAAATATTCCAGGTATTCAAGATGGATGCRTTATTTTCCACTAGTAACGACACATCACATTCACCAGCTTACACAGGATGTTTTGGCCACTTCAATATTATGTCCTGTGCCAGGTACTGCAGTGATTATAAACCATGATAKTGAAATATTTAATTCAACCGTCAGACTTTAAAAATCAGCACACCAATTGAATTATTGAAGATGTCATTAATTAATGTTTTTGTAGAGATTCAGCACTCTCAATACTTGCTGGGATGACAATAATCATTTGTGTSTTCAAGGTATGATGTGCATTTTTTTCATATTCGATGGCTTTTAATTATACATTTGATTTTAAAATGTTTGCCAGGAGTGAAATGATAGGATTACTAATATCATTCTTACACACTCATTTTTTAGGTGATCAAACTACACACCCATCATCATTCATTGCCCAATCAGTACATCRTATACTACAGCGGGATCATCAATTGTATCTTATGGTAAGAAACTCCCYCATCTTAATTTTTATTAGCAACTTGATGTACTTCGCTAAAACAAATATCATGCACAAGTTCACAAAAGGAAGTGTGGAAAGGATTATTTATTGTGAAGATTGAATCAGCATTATTGAATCCAA